ACTGGTAAAGAAACTATTCAATTTTTGCACTGTGTTGATAAATAGTATGCTGATCTGCAACGAAGTTTCTTTCTCACAGATAACACCTCAAATTATCACTTAACTGTGATCAACTTCTACATACTAATTTATTAAACATCCTTCATCACTAAAACAAGCATAAAAATAATAGAAGTAGATAAGAGTTGTGGCATGAGTTGCTTCTGGAATTTTGCCTAAGTAACTTTTATGATGACAGTAATATAAGGATAATTGTGTGATCAAACAAGCAGACCAATTATGGTCATTATAAGTTTTCCCCATGATGAGGTGTGAGGAAGTGTCATAATGGTGGTTACATTGTCATAAGACTGGCAAAGACTAGACATTCATGGAACATCTTCAGTGTCAGTACCTACTTCTGGCTGCTAGAGTAGATAGTGTAGCTACTACCTCATTCTAACAATACATCGAATTATATTCCAAATAAGGGGTGTGTATATACAAAGAGTATACTCCCTCACAGGAATATAGGAATATTCTGATGATCTCCTGCATCATATGTTTATCTTAAAAACTCATTATAAGTACAAACATAGAAGAAAGGCCAGATTAAGATGCTTGGGATTGTTAAAAATGTCAGAGGTCAGTTTTTCTTGAATTAGATGTGCCAATCAACAGCTTCTAGACAACACTACTTATTGATAGCACTGAGCATCATTCAGAAGTGACAAGCACTGATGCAGGACTACGCCACGGACATTTTGTAAAAGCTTCTTCAAGATGTGGAAGTGAATGCCAATCAACACCATGGCTTTTTTTGTGTTCCTTGTTTTTTTCTGTCCTCATCCTACGGAAATTTAAATCCTGTCTACCTTTCTACACTGAGAGACAACTTGGGAAAGGTTTGTATGGTGAAATATTGCTTTCCATTTGAATTTTGTCATTCTTTTAAACAGCCAAATGCAGCATCACATCATGTAATTAGAATTTTTTGTTCAATTAGAATGTTTGTGTTATAGAGTGGCTGTGTAACTTCACTGAACCTATTAACTGTTATCATGTTTGATGACAGATCTCTGATTAATTTGCAGTTATAGAATATTAACCATTAACCAGCTCTTCTATAAGAGGAATTAATTTCTTGAACTGCTGATGACACAGAATGTAAGTCCCTAACACACAAGAAAATAGATTTGCGTTAGTACAGAGACCTCACAGCCCATCATCACTATTAATTTAGTAGACTCCTGCTGTCCTTTTGATGAGGCAAGTAACAAAGGATACAAAACCCTGCAATGATACAGCAAAAGTCCTGCTGCTAACAGAAAAGAATACAGACCAATGAAAAAGAAAAGTCACCTGATCCAAAGATATCTCTGTCTTTTCTCTTTGATTCCAAGCACCCCAGTAATACCCTTTATCACCTTGTTCAAATACTGTAAAATCTTAGGTGTAGGAGTCAGGATTCTAAATAGCAGTAAGTTAAAGCTGACAAAGCAATTGCTCTAAGTCATCCACTTAAGAGGCTCCCCTTCCTCTGTGCCAAAATACGCTTAACACATTGGAAAGTATTACAGGCCACAGCCCCAAACCAGTTACACAGGCTCCTGGTGATTTCCCTTCAGGAAGGCATTCAAGGTACTGTCACAGCATCAGTGCATAGTGCATGAAGATGGATTTAAAGATCCAACTGAACATTTACAGTGTGTTCATGTACAATGAGTACAGTATGTCAGTGTACAAACTGACAGTGCTGTCAGCTCAGTTGTAACATGCCAATCAGCACTGGCTAAAATAAGAAAGGAAGACTACCCCCAGTGTCAGCCACAAAATAACTCAGCTAGCTCAGCTTCAGAATAACAGGAGGTAAAGCATGTTTGTAAGAGAAACTAACTAATGAAAGCCTGTATGACCTGAAACCCATACTTTAAAAAAAAAATTATGACCACGGAAATCTGAGTTGCACTAAGTACATATATATGAACTGTATATTCTCAGCTATACTTGTTGAAGCTTGCTGCTCTGACTATTTAAAAAGAAGACACAAAAAGTCCACTACAGTTTTTGGTTGTTATAGCTCAATCCTAATGTTATCCATCAAGAGTCTTACCTGTGCTTCCTATTTATGCACAGAACCACAAACTGTGTATTATCAATTGATATGCTACTGTCAAGCATGTTTCTGAGTAACAGTTTTATCATTACAGTTACTGGAATGGGACCAAGCACAGAAACATAGTGGCTATATTTATTTGAAGGTTCTTCATGCTTCATATTGCATTCCAACTATAGCAGGAGAAATACGACAACCCTGTATTTTGACACAAGGCAAAAACATCAAATGCTAAGAAGTCCAGCAGATTACATGACAGAACAAAAAAAATCAGCTCATTCATTGGGTTACTAATTTAAAATAACAAAAAATAAATAATTATTCTCTCATCAGTATTGTTCTAGATTCAATATGAATCTTAACTCCCTTTAGCCTCCCTTGCAAAAGTAAAGGATGAAAGGAAAAAAAAAAAAAGGTATCTGCTCCAACAGCAAAGGTGACACATTTTTCTGAGACAGATCTTTGAATCTCCTGAAGAAAATCAATTTTGATCTTTCTGCTTTGTCAGGCTCCCAAATTCCCCTTACATCCATTTCGCTGCAATTTTCTCATAGCTAACAACCATTATTTGCTCTTTCTCTGAGTGTCACGTAATTCCTATCTTCTGTACTCTAATAAAAAGAATACCCACAGAAAGAAACCATGGGAGCTCTTTTTTAGACTGAAATCCATTAGACATTTATACAGAGAAATGCTAAAATTTAATGAGAGGGTTAACGATGGTTTTGACATTACAGAAAACATAATGTAGAAAATTGAAAACACAAGATTGGTTATGTAAAATTTATTTATATCTACATTAAAAGAAAAAGTAATAAAACTGAAGAGATTTCACTCTGGAATCAAGTGCCTGAACACAGAAAACTAAGAAGTTATAGCAGTGTTACAGAGCCCTCAGAAGTGAAGAGAAAACTAAGAAGTTATAGCAGCGTTACAGAGCCCTCAGAAGTGAAGAACTGCCCACAAAATAATTTCTTCATACTTGTTGAAAGTTCTATTGTAATTTAAAACTGGATTTACTTTTTTGACAGCATTATATAACACTTTATCTGGATATTTGCCTCACAGTCTTTAATGTGCTAATAAAGTGATTTAAATGGCAGTGATTGTACCAGTAATTTAACATATGCATAAAAGAACTAGTAAGTATATATTTAATCACAACTTACTACATTTTGACAAAAGGAAATATAACAAGCTGTGTGTTTGTTACAAACAGCTATACGCCCAGATCCTTTTAAATCGCAGCTCAAAAATGCTTCTTAAATAAAAAATATATAATATAATAATTCAAATTTTTCCAGCATTCCAAATAACTTGCTTCCAAATATTTTGCCCTGTGCTTTAGGCTGTCAGAAGCAAAAGAAAGTTCAGGTAAATATAAAGAGGAATGTTTTGCTCCAAGTACAGCCCAAATACAAGTCTTCGTTTCATCCAAAAATTCTGATATAGCCATGATCATGCTGGTCTAAGAAATGACAGGCAAACAGCTGAACAGACACTGCATTCTTCTAAATACTGATACATCAGGTTGTATGAAAGATTGTTGGCTGGAAGAACCAGACCAGAACCAGACTAGGATACAGCATTTAGACTTACCAACAAATTGTGAATGATTTATGTACTTGGTGAGAATACTAAGATTGAAATATTTCAACATAAGTAAGATGACAACCATAATTTTTCTCATCCTCTCTCATCCAGTTCCAAATCACTTGATATACTTCTGTTTATGATTATGGAATCTTCAGAATCAGGATATTGCATTTTCTTTCTTAGCAATAAACAAATAAATGAACAAACTTTAAAAATCTACAATTTAATTAATTCAATGACAATGTGATGTATATTGGAATAAAAAACAACAAATAAAAACTCTCTTTCCATAAGAATTTTCAGATTTGTTGCAGCTAAAGCTTTGATGAGACTGTTTCTTCAGTCTTGGTAAAGCACTGACATCTTTCGCCAGTGCAAAAGCAAATACATTAATAGCTAAAAAAGAAGCTGCTGTACCTGAAGAAACACTGAATGCATATATTGAGAGAACTACAGCATCACTTAAACTTCCATTCTAAACCATATTATGCACTATAGCTATGTCTTCCAACTCAAAAACAAACAGATCCCAAAGATGAAGAATGGAATAACTACTCCCCCTCAAAAAAACCCTGCTACATTTATCCTCTGAAACATGTTCTTCCAAATAGTAACTGAATTTCCTTACAGAAACGCAGAACTTTTTCTTAATATTAATATAAAAATAGCATTCTGTCTCCATAATATTGTAGCAAGTTTTATTTGAGTGACTAAATACAGATTAAAGTACCCAGTTTCTGTTTGTCTGAGTTTGAAAATAACAATCACTCATTAAATCTATTTTCAGCAAAGTTTTTACAATTTGGTACTGATAAAGCAAAATTTAGAAAAGGAGACTGATTCACTTGTCAATTATGTAGTTTCATAAATTCACAATTGATTTCTGCTAAAATTACAGTATTTTATAAAAATAAAATGCTTCAGTAGAGAAAAACAAATCCTGTGTTACAGTCAGTTAAGGTATTCTGCCAAGTACTGAACAACAGGCCAGCCTCAAAGGATCACAGTGCTTTGTGTCTGGTCTTCAAATGCAGCAACCATACCACTGCTCACACCAATTCAAGTAAATAGAAGGTCAAATGAAAAACATCTGACAAAAGAATAGCTACACTTGGTCTAGTTCTGAGAAGGCTGTAGAAAGAGAAAGCAAAGCTTTTGCTCTATGAAAACAAGGTTCAAACAACGGAGGGAAAAAATCTCAGGACAACATTATACCTTCCTGTAGAAAGACAAATGTATTACTAAAAACCTGGAAAACAAGCGTGTTTTTTTTTAAACAATATTTTTATTTTGTCTTATATAGTCTTACCGTTCTCTGTTAAATTTCAGAGAATGGAGGATAGCTGGTCGTTTCTGTCTGAGATTCCACAAATGGAGCGTATCATCTGCACATGCACTGACCAAAGCACCCTAGAACAGACACAAAATACGGCACATGTCACTCTTGTATGGGGTCTGTCTTATTCTCAAGTCATTCTCACTGCTAAAATGATCTCTCTGTAGAAAACAGTACAATTTATGAGAAATACTTGCTTCCTTCTGTAAGAATATAAATTAAAACTCCATCAATTTAAAATACAAATTCAAGCTTCTAACCAAAGTTATACATGCAAACTCCCACAAATTTCCACGCAAGCATAGAGATTAATGAAAAGAAGGACAGCCAGTACTTATTTTAAAAGGTGAGTATAAGTGGCATAACTAAAGGAAAAAGGGACATACAAACAAATGACAATGCCAAGCACAATACAGTAGCCATATGAAGACAACATGAAGTTCACAACTGGAACTGTGAAAAGATGCAGGTAGAAGAACATAGGGACAGGTATCAAAAGGACAGGACAAAAGAGATGTAGACAAAAGAATGGTGTCTTTGCTACAGATCAGAAATACTCTGAAGTCTGGTTCTGCGTCTGATCAAGAACCATACCATACAACAGCAAAGCCAAGTGAAAATGTCTGTTGAGGCAGGTATCTGCTGCTGCATCAGTAGGGTTACTATAGTTACATGTCAAATCACATCTGATAGAAAGGCTCAATCCCTATGTGCTCCAATGGCATAGAGGAACTGGACGTTACTCAAACTGTAGACAATGCTTTATCTTGGCAAATGGGGAGGACGTGACTGAATGCTCAGATAATACCAACTATGATGGTTTGATAAGGCATAAAGTTCCCTTCTTGCATATCAGATTTCCTTCCTAATCCTAGCAACTGTTTCTTTCAATGCTGACGTGTAAATGCAACTTATGAAAGTAAGACTTTTCTAATACAATATAATCCATGCTTTAATTGTCAACTCCTGAAGAACATGGACTAATGACAGAGGTTGAATCTCCACCACAGAAATCAAAATAATCTTACATTTTACAGTTCTTGCTGGTCACAAAGGACCAGAACATTCAAATATTGGCTCCTTTTTTTCCCCAACACTTTTCCAGCCCTTTTATAAAGAATTATTTCTGAAGTTTCAGTCTTCATTCATTACTTTCAGTGGTTCAGGCACTTTTCCAAACAAGCTCAGAACAAAAATACTTCTGAGATTTAAAAAATAAACTAGCAAAACACCAAAACCCAAGCCCTTTAATTGACAAGTTCTAATAGCTTTGAGGATTTGAAATTGTCAAAAGTGTTTTCATACATTAGGGAAGAAAACTAATGAAAACTGAACTAAGATTATGTCATAATTTTGTCAGGTTATGAGATATTGAAAACAATCTGCTGAGTAGATTCGTAGGCTCAGCAAATCTTCTTGAGCATTACTATCTCCAGAGACCTTCTGATAGAGCAAGTTATAGTCTCGTACTGTTCTTTACATCATCCAAACTTGATTTTGACAAACCATGTAGAAAGGCTAAGCATGCTCATTTGATTGATAATCCCTGCAGCTGCTCATTTTTACTGCAAATAGCAGCATGTCCACATCTATTGAGCTTTTAGATAATTATCATCAATATTTTTCCACACAAAAAAGTAATTCATTTATTAACTGCTATTTGAAACAGAGCTGTGTAGCATATTCAGTAATTGAATGGATTTTACATCTATCTGCAAACATTCATGTATTGACTACTTTTTGTTTAGTACTTTATAGTGATGTAAATAAACATTAGTTTTCCTGGCGTGCAGTCACAAGAATAGTCTTCTAGAAGTCCGCATGATGAACGTCCTCTGGATGTATGCCACTTACTTGTTGGCACAATTTCTCAACAGGAAAAGTTGTATCACTGAATTACAATACACCAATTGCCTTATTCAACTAAACATACATAGAAGAATTCAAGTAAATATATACTTACCTCATTGATTAAGAACTGGAGCTGTAGGACTGCAGCACCACTTTCATGTTGGCAGTAGCAATCAACACCAGGCCTACCCAATCTGTTGTCATCAAAGTCAAGGATTCTAACATTTCTGTTATCACCAAAAGACAAGAAAAAAAATATGGAACTATCAATTCATCTCTAATTAACCTTTAATTAACCTCAATTCTTCTTGCTTTCTGTAAAACGAAAGAATTCAAGCTGACTTCCCACTGCTCTAATTAAAGTATCAACACCATCAGTCAGAAACATGTGCAATTGTGAGTGATTTGCTACTGCCTGTTCTCTTTCCTCTGAGAAAAAAAAAGCACAAATTACAAAAATTCAGCAGGATGCCTCTTCAGTTTCTAGAACACCTAAGTGGTTCATTCAACACATGAATGTATCAGCTTTTTGTGCTTATGAAAACATTATTTAGTTAATAATTTAGGACTAAGGTCATTGCAGTTCTGTAGCAGGCTTTCTTTTTTGAATCTGAGAAAAAGCTTTTTACAATTAGTCATTTCACACTCACGTAAAAAGCTCACATACAACTAACTATTGCTCTGTCTCATCAACACAGTACAATACAATGCTCCACAGATAACCAAGTCCAACTCAGAACTACATTGCCTATACCAATTCTTAGCCCAAGTGAAACCACAGTGGCAACTTAACTGGGTTACTCAAAATTAACACTGATGTATTCCTTTGCAGAAACATCTTGTTGCCCAGATACAGTTTTTTATCTGTTCTCTTAGGATGTTTTCCTTTTGCACTAAATTAAAATCTCCCAAGTCAGATTATAGCATTTCCAGTCAGAGTCAGAGAGTTCAACAATAAATTGCTGTTCCAGAAAATTACCAGGCAGAAAGTAAAGCAAAAGAGGAATATGAAACGTGACCTTATTAATAATATTGTCGTATGAAAGAAGTGAAACACCTCCACATGCATTAATGACAGCAAGCATTATGAAATAAATAGAAAAAAAGATTTTACAAGATAAGGCTTATCTTGTTGTATATGACCAGATCATAAAATCCTGCACAAAAATGCCAGTGATCTACCAATACCGAAGGCAGTGGTCAGAACAGAATGATCTTTACTTTCCCTTTCAAAAGTGAAGAAACTTGCAGTAGACTATTCTGAAATGAGGTACAAAGATGTAAACTCTACAGATTAGTAAATTAGAGAGCTAAAACTTGAAAGTATCCAAAAAATTCCTTTTTCAGTTGTTACAGAAACATTTTAATTGGAGACATCTGACCTGGAAAGACTTGCACTCTACTCTGCACAAATGGTGTACTAGAAAACTGTAGGGAAAAGAGCATATGAGGGCTGCTCCAAAGGAATGCCTCTTATTTTATTATATTGGCCCACAAAGTCAAAGGTGGATATTGGTGGTATGGAAGTCCAGGTTGAATCTTCTTGACAATATGCCATTATCTTTTTTTACCAGATGACAGATGGCAGCAGAGGGGCAGTCTGACAAAATGGCATCTGACATAGAAGTGCATATGAAACAAAAGTTTGTCACAGAATTCCTCCATGTGGAAAAATGGCACCTACTGACATTCATCAATGCTTGCTGAATGTTTCTGGAGGCAGTGAGGCAGTGGCTGGTGTGTTTCAGCAGTAGCAGTAGCAACAGTGGGTCACCTCCACTGGAGCAGATTTTTATGAGTGTAGCATGCGGGCTTTTGTTCTTTGCTGTAGAAAATACATAACTAATGGTGGTGACTATGTTGAAAAAGAGTGTTTTGTAGCTGAGAATTTGATCTATCAAGTAGTGTGACTGGGGACTTTGTATCTGTTGTAATTTCCATGGACAGTAAGAACAGAGAAAAAACTCCATCTGCCACTTATTCTCAAACTGCAGTTCTGAGCAAAATCACAACCATTAAAACAGCATGAACCAGCATATCTTTTAAACAACCTGTTTTAAATGAACAATAAAGATATATAGTAGTCTATTATACATTCTAAGGGTTGATAGTAATTCCTCCATCCATTTTTAATTACTTCTCTGTAGTACTCATTTTTTATATTCTCTGTAATGGAAAAGGAATTAATACTTCTGCCAAAACATACCAACCCACAGACCAATCACCCAACAAAGAGAACAAACAATTCCTTTGTTGATTTTAAATCGAGTGGAAATTTTGATCCAATGGGAGTTGGATCTAGATGATTTTTAAGTCCCTTCCAGCTTGAACTTCTGCATCATTCTATGACTTCAACTTAAGCATTATATGCAATGTAAATCCATGACGGTAGCTAATGATTGTCCTTAATGAAAATTATGCTGGTATTGTCCCAAGTAAGCAGCTATCAACTTTCAGCATCAGTATTGTGCTAAATAAGCTTTCTGGGAAACATTCTAACAAAGTCAATTATTTCATTAGCATATCCCAAACAAACAAAGCACTCTCCAATAATTCACATCTATTTGCCTAAGTGTTCATCCTGAAATACTTCACAAATTACTAAAATGAGAGAGAAATTATGCTGTCTGCTTCAGTCTGGCCAATTGCCCTGAAGTAAGGACCGATGCTTACTTAAATAGAAGCATTATCACTGACTGATGGTGGTTTTCAAACATTCTGGGAGCTGTGTTGAGATCCTTCCAGCAGAAGGAGCTGAAGACATATTATGATTTGGCACATGTTCTTGGCACTTCATCTTATCTTCTGCAAACTTTATGCTTTGCTGCCAAGCATGGAGGAATAAACCATACCTCACTGAATCTTTTCATACCAGTGTACTCCACCAGGACATACAGCAGTAGTAACAATGAAGGCTTTGGACTGAATTTATTCTTTTATTTTGCCTTTATATGACTTAATTAAATAATGACTTAACTAAAAGAGAGAGTGTAATATTTCTGAAAATACTGGAAGAGAAGACTAATTTTAATAGATTTGAATACCTCAAGGTAGACATCATGATTTTCAAGGATAAAAACCAGTCACTGGCTATTCTCTCTTATCAGTACATTGGATCTCTCAAGGGCCTTTACAGACATGCCAGATTATACTAATTTATACATAAAAAGGAAAATGATGAAAACTGTCTGAGTCTGATGGGACTTACAGTAAAACAAGTACAACCAGAATCACATGAATCAAGCGTGACAGTAATAACACTGTAACCTGTAATCCTAGTTTTAAAATCTGAATTTGTGAAACACAGTATTTTGCACTGTATTCACTTGTATGCAATAGTTTTTCAGAGAATGTTTCCACACACTATTCATGTTACAGGCATCACACATGAACTCCCCTGAACTATGCTGTTTACAGTGCTTCAGATTCCTCCTGTAGCTATATAAAGAAGCTGAAGAGTCATCTGAATCTTTTTCCTCAGCAGTCAAAAGGGTGTCAGTTTGAAGTATGAAAACATTCCTGAATAATAAAAAACCCAACACATTCTCCTAGCCTTTAATATTTTTGCCTACTCCCTCAGATATGGGAGTGCAGCTGTGGGGTACAGTAGAAGTAGCGCTGCTGACTGTAGGGTGTCCTGTCATTTGATTTGCACTGACTAGTACATGCTTGAGTTCCTACTCAATATGCAGCACTCTAAGAGCAGATGCTTGTGGGCTGGTGATACACTATTACATAAACCAACTGTAAAAGTGGTTTAGCGTGTTATTTGAATATAGGACAGTATTTTCTTGCAGAAGACCTGCTGCTGACTTGAGTGATTTGAGTGGTTTATCAGTTTAAAAAGCCACAAAGGATTCAACAGAATAGCTAGTGAATAAAATACTCAGATGATTCAATCACGTCACTAGCTAGCTAAAGCAGCCACTGGGCTAATCAGCTGTATCTGTCAAAATATAAAATGCTGAAAGATTTTGTCAAAAGATAACAACTATGAAAACATAACATTGCCTTAACATCAAAGTTTATCATCTAGATTTGCAGCTCCAGACGTAGACATATGCAGTTCCTGGAATATTGAGTTTTACTGTTCCTTCCTGGAATCCCTTTAAGCCTCTCATACACTTATTCCCAGTACAGTAATGATAGCACATGTTCTGGTAAAAACAAATGCCACAGTCCTGTATTTCCTCATTTCAAATGGGTTTCCAGATTTTTTTTCTCTTTCTATGAGGTACTGTATCTTCCATTAAACATTTCAAACTACAGAGAATCCATGATTTCTGAAGAATATTGCTCCAGTCTTCAGTTATCCTCACTATGAAGAAAGTCGTGCTATATGTAGAATCAATACACGTAGATTCAGTTTCAAGCTTTTGGATCACATTATGCCTTTCAATGCTAAATTAAATAACTTTCTATTAGCAGAAGTTTCCTGCTGCAGGTACTTAGAAACAGTGATAGGTTATATATTATCCATCTCCTTCATGAATACAAGCACAAAACTCTAAGCGGCATTATTATCATGTCACATAGTAGTTTTGCTAGATCTTGAGTAGTTCTGATCTTTTTTTTCGCCTGGATGCTTTATAATTTTTGTAATCTTCTTTAAGATGGAAAACAGAGCCACACAATCTTAATGCTGACTGCTTTCATACAATGCAAAGCACACAGCATTTTATTGGGCAATCATATTTTTATAATTTTTAAGAATTCTAGATTGCTTTATAAAAAATAATGCCCCCTCACAACCCTCATGCTATTAACCACATGTAATTGAGCTCAGTGAGTTCCTTAAAAATGACCTGAAACCCAATCACACCCACATGACCTTCCATGCGCTGTGGATTCACTGCAAACTGCGTTATCAAACAATAACTCCTGGCACTGTCTTCCTCTTGTTTGTTTTAAATATAGAAGTATTCAGTTTTACAATGAGATTCATTATGTCTTGAGTTTATCCAGCTGTTCAAATAAAGAGCTTCTTTTTTTCCCCTCTGCAAAGAAAAGGTGAATTATCTGCTATGATTGGCTGCTCTCTAGCACTGCTAAGTGCTAGACAGACAAACGTTTGGGCACCCAATAAGCATGAGCTTTTGGTCTAAAATTGCCTCTGTCTTGTTTATTTTTCTTGACATAGATTTCTCCATTCATGCATACAAATTACAGCAATCACAGGAACAGCAGAACATCA